AGGTTGTGGGGGTTTTTTGTTTTTTTTTTTTGTTTTTTTCTTCCAGCAGCTTTGTTGGGGTAGGACGGCGGCAGCGGGCATCACGAGGGGGGTGGCTGAGCTGGATTTGGGGTGCCGCACCACTGCACCCCGACGCCAGGCACCCCCAGCACCTCCTTGTCCACAGGATGGGTGCACCCAAGGGTGCTGCTTCTTCCAGCAGCCGCCTCAATACAATTTCAGGCTACTCAGAAAAAAAATAAAATGTACTTTCCTGTGATTATATTGTTGTTCGTTTTTTCAGCTGATTTGTTTCTTTTCACCTTTTTCCCCCCTCCCTCTCCTCGCCTCTTCTAATCCGTGTTCTTCCCTTGTCCCCTCACGTGAGGCAGTTTGTTGGCTTGGATGTGGAGTTGGGATTACGGATGGACGTGGGCTCCATTTCTCTTCCAGCGAGGTCGGGTTTTTGTTTTTGTTTTTCTTTTTTTTTTTTTTTTTTTTTTTTTTTTTTTTTGCCACAAACCGCTTTACTCCACTGTTTCATTTTTAAAAATAAAGAGAACAATAAAACAAACAAGCAAAAAAACCCATCTGGTTTTGTGTGGTTTTATGGAGTTGGGGGTGGAAAACAGAAATAAGGGGGGGAAATAGGGGAAAAAATAGAGAAATAAAATGGGGAAATGGAGAAAGAAAGGGAGGAAAGTGGGGAAATGGAGGAGGAAAAAGAGAGAAAGGGAATAAAGGAGAAAAAAGAGAAAGGGCAAACAGAGGAGGAAAAAGAAAGGGGGGAACTAGAGGTGGAAAACAAATAAAGGGCGAAATGAAAAAGGAGAAATCAAGGGCGGAATAGAGGAAAACAGAAATAAAGAGAGGAATAGAGAAAAAAAACAACTAAAAGGGAGAATAGAGGAAAAACAAATAAAGAGGGGAATAGAGGAAAAATAGAAATAAAGATGGGGAATAGAGAAAATCGGAAATAAAGATGGAGAATAGAGGAAAAACTGAAATAAACAGGGGGAATAGAAGAAACCAGAGAAATAAAGGGAGGAATGGAGGAAAAAGCAGAGAAATAATAAGAGAAAGTAGAGGGGAAAGAGAGAAATAAAGGGGGAAACAGAGGAAACCAGAGAAATAAAGCGGGGGATAGAGGAAAAAACAGAAATAAAAAGGGGAAAGAGAGGGAAAAGAGACAAATAAAGAGGGGAATAGAGGGAAAACAGAAATAAAAAGGGGAAATAGAGGAAACCGGAGAAATAAAGGGGGGAATGGCGCAAAAAACAGAAATAAAACGGGCAAATAGATGAAAAAGAGAGGAAATAAAGGTGGAAATAGAGGAAAAAGAGAGAAATAAAGGGGAGAAACGTGTGCTGGGGGTTGGGGACGACGGGTGAGGGTGGCAGCGGAGCAGCTCGGGGACATCCCGGAGGATGCTCCGGCCCGTCCTCGGTGCCGGTAGCACCCAAACGGGGCCGGTGCCGTGGTTTAATGAGCTTTGTAGGACTAATTAGTACAGTTTTCTCGCCCGGGGATGCTGGCAGAGGGGGATGGATCCTCTGCAAACCCCCCCCGGGGATGCAGCTGTGGGCTGGCCCTGCTGCACCCCAACAGCGCTGCAGCCCCCGGACCTTCCCAGGGCGGGGGGGGGCTCAAGGGCACCGAGAGCGACT